CCACGGACCAATCAACGCGCTGATGACGACGAGGACGCCGGTCGGAAGAGGATGTCCCGCTCTGATGTTCCACTAGATGAGCGGCGCCGAAAAAACGCGGTGCAGAGATGACAGACGCGCGGCCGCGGCTCATTTTCGGTGGAGTGCGTGTCGTCTTGTCTTCGGGGCGCGGCGTGCAGCGCGCTGCGAGCGCTCCAATGGGTGAAAATGGTCGCATCACATCCTGCGCAGGCAGCGCACGCAGCACGGACGGAGTGCCGTTGGAAATTTCGACTGAAAAAAAAAAGACGCTGCTTCAGGAGGGTTTCAGATCCCACGCTGCTGTGCGGCCCTGCGGCCCCCCGGTACAGTGGACTCGTTAAATCGACCGTCCACAGGAAAAAAAATAGTAATGATTGTTTTTGTTCCCGAAAAATTCGTCTTATTTCAGTACATTCATTATTTTTTCGGGACGCAGGGAGGGGAGCGGTCTGTCTGCGCAAGTGCAAAATCCAGAGCGATGAGACTCCGCAGGACGCTGTGCTGAGACCACATGGGCCATGCCAGGCCGAGCCAGGCCAAACCCCCTTCTCTTTCCCCTTTCCCCTTTTGCCGACGATAGCCTAACAGAGGGGCGTCGGTCGAGGCTGCAATATTTGCTCTCTGCTTTTTACGGCGTACAGATACCGCAAAGGAAGACCGAGAACGAGAACGTCGAGTTTGACAGGCGTGTCCTTGTGTATTCGGAAGTGATCGATTTTTTGGGTGTCTTCGCCTTCTAGAGGTCCGAGATTGTGTCATCTCTGGGGAGGTTCGTGGCGGCTCGCTATCAGGACGGGGCAGGACGGGGCAGGAGGTCGACGTGAAGCCCTTCGCAAACACCTCGGACTGGGAGGACGCATCGGCACAGTCAACACCGATAACCTACTGGACGGGCGACGCGCAGACTCACTCACCTGCCCGCCGAGGCCGAGTCCAGGAGCACTTCTACTCCCCCTTCCTCACTGACGGTGCTAAGGGGCCTTGGCTGGCGCCCCGCGGTGACACACCACTGTACACCACTGCCGCCGAGCAGACCAATCTCCAGCGACTCGGCAGTTTCTCATATTCTCACTCGGGAACGACTCCGTGAGTGACTTATGGCTCCGTTTCCCAGACGACATCGCGCCGCGGTTGGCTGAGGCCACTGTTGGAGTTGCATACCCGCGTATGGCCGTCCTGAGCGCGCGTAAACCCCACCGTTCTTATTTTAGAACATTACTGCCAAGTCCATCAAAGTAGTACATAAAGCAGCACCTCGCGGCCGCGCGGGCGCGGGGCGAGGCGAGGCAGAGGTGAAGCGCGGGGCGCGTTCAGGTTCCCGACGCTCTCCGTCGTCTCCGCCCTGCAGTGCGGTCGGCGTGGACGGCACGGACGCGTGTTTTCGAACGCACCGCGCCCCGGCTGCCCTCGGCTCCGAGGAGGAACAACAGCCCGGTGCCTCCCTGCCCGCCGTGCGCGCCGTGCGCGCGGCGTTAAAACTAACACACAAATAAACAGGGTGGCTGTACAACAGTGGGCTTGAGTTCCCTCAAGGTATATACGGCCGGGGCGATGTTCGTGTTCGTTCGCCGACGCCTCACCCTGCACCCACAGCGCTAAATCCGGAGCTGCACTTCGCGAAAATGGTGTTTCCGTTAATTTGCCCCGGTAACCGGGCCTCCGTGTTTGTCGATCAGGTTGCTGCTGGAGGTTTTCCCCCTCGCTCCCCGGCCTCTCTGGGGCAGACAAATGTTTGTCTTCGGTCCCCGACCATCCCCGACCCCCTACATCGGCGCGGCCCCCTCGCGCCCGTCACCGGCAAAGCGACGTATCGTCGCCGAGGTCCAGGACGCCGCCGTCGCGGGGCTGGAGGGGCCGCGGGGCCCGCAGTTACAGCGGTCCAACCCGTCTGGCCGTCTGGCCGTCTGGGCGCGCGCCGTGCATTGCTTTCGCGGTTTCCGCTACATTTAGAACGCATCGCGTCGGAGCGTCTGCCTGCCTGCGGTTTCGCGCGCCGCCATTCTTTTGTTTCTCTTCTTTTTGGCGGGAAGGCGAGGCAGTGGAAGGGGCAGAGCGGCGGAATCACTGTCCGGAGGACACGCGTCCCCGACGACGGCGTCCTCGAGCTCCTCGACGACGGCGTCCTCGAGCACCTCGATGACGGCGTCCTCGAGCACCTCGATGACGGCGTCCTCGAGCACCTCGACGGAGGCGTCCTCAAGGCCTTCGACGGCACCGTCCTCGAGGTCCCCGTCGGCGGCCCCCTGGCGGCACCGCGGTGCCAATCCTCCTCCCTGCCCCTCTTCGCCGTGCCGCTGCTGCCCATTCTCATCGGCTCGCTGCACGCGGCCAATTAATTACTGTTTCCGTCGAGAATGAGTGAGTGCGCGTTGCATGGCGGAAAGGAAAGCAAGGCAAAAGGGACGGAAACTCATATACTTCCGCCGCCACGATTTTGACGATTTATTTTTGGTGTTGGACGGGACGGATCCAACGTCGGCTAATGACCAGGGGATCAGGAGAGGCTGCCCCCGCCGGGGTTGTCTCATTCGCAATGATTCACCCGTTCACTTTTTCCAGCTTTCGAGATTTGGGCGGTGGCGGCGTGCTCCGCCAGGCCCCGCGGAATGCCGGCAGTGAGACTCGCGTGATGGCTGTCGTTGCCTCTCCTCGCGCGGTCCATCCGTCTTCGGGCGAGACCGCCCCGGCGCGCCCTTCCCTGCCCTGGTCTCCGCGGCCCGACTTGAGGCCCGACTTGAGGCGGCGGCGAGAGGAGAGGAATCGCGGCGGCGAGAGGGAGGGGCGGTCGGTATGCCAAACAAGTTCGGCGCAGAACAAGGGACAAATGCTGTGAAACGAGGCGCGGGGCGAGCACGGCGCTGCCAGGCCGCGCCAGCGAGGGGCATCGAAGGGGCACTAATAGTGGCCAAGAATGCGCGGCATTGCGCCGACCGCGCCTCGACGAGCCGAGCAGAGCCCGATAAGGCCCAGCCGAGCCCAGCGGAGCCGGGCCGAGCCGGAGAGGGGCGGGCCGCGGAGGACGAGGACGACGTCGAGGACGCCCCGTCGACAGCAGCGGGGCCCGCCGCCGTCGAGCCCCAAAGCTCACGGGGCGCAAAGCGTGTGTATTTGTTTTCAGGAGCAGCACGCTCAGCTGGAGCTGGAAAAGAACAACAAGCACAAAAAACAAGAAAAATGCCTGGCTTGTGCTGCGCAGCCGAGCGCAGCTGCCCGCGTGCTGTAGTGCGCCGTGACCTCGATGCAGCCAAGGTGCGCGTGCATTTGTTGTCCAAACAAACGCCGCGCATTACGCCCCTAATGTGGCGGCCGTTTACGGCCCCGAACAGTGTGCCCGTGGTGTTCGGCGCTGGCCGTTGAGGCCGCGTCCACCGTCGAGGCCGTCCGCCGCGGAGGTGCGGCGCCCCGAAATCAAGCCGCTAATTTATTCCCGATGGCGCCGCGCCGTCGCCCGATGAAGTATTGCGTGTCCCGGCGACATCTCGATGGTGTCGGCGCGATGCTCACGGTGTCCGTCGGGTCGGGCCGTGTCGCCACGACCGCGGCGAGGCCCGGGGGGCCCGGACGCCGCGGCACGGGCGCTATGCGACGTCGCGGCGCGTCGCGGCGGACTGGACATGGGCATGCCTGACTGGGACCCGGGCCTGGCCGTGCTATGCGTCTCACGTACGTCTCCGTTGCTTGGCCAGCCACCAGCCAGGCCAGCCTCGAAAGTTGGGCCGCAGTGGCGTAGGCACACTGCAGCCAGGACCCGGCGCCTTGCTGCCCCCAGCCGACGTCGCGGCCCCGCGAGCTTGGCTACGCCGCTTGGCCACGGCGCCGGTATGGTCTGCAGGGCGCGGCCGCAGGGCAGGCCGCCGCAAGCCGACTCGTCGGCGTAGCCATGCCAAGCCGTCCTCGGCGGCAGGCCAAACTGGCAGGAGGTCGTGCTATCTATTCTCATGGACGGCGCCCGAAGGCCCGACGGCGGCGCCCCTGCTGGGTCGCGGTGGTCCCACGGCCGCCCCGGTGGGAGACACCGGTCACGGTGCGAGGTGTAGGCAGTGTAGGCCCACAGGGACGCGGGTTCGACGACGGTGCGACGCTCAAGTCATCGCATTGTGCTTATTTCGGCACAGGGAGGCGCATGGCTCTCCTGGAGAGTTGTCAAGTTGCCTGCCCACAGGCGCACGCCCCAGTCACTTTGGCGCGAAAAGTCGGTGATCCCCTGCTTCCGCGTGTGCCATCCGGTCTTAGTTAGTTAGGGGTTGGGCCCTGGTGGGGGAGAGTACCTGTTGGCCTCCATCTGGGCGGCAGGGCTTGCAGCGCGACGCAGGGCACGGCACGACCCAGCCCGGCCCGGCTTGGCGACACAGGAAGAAGCGGCCCGGGAAAAAAAGCCCAAGCGAAGAGGAAGAAGCGAGGAGGAAGAACGGACAGGGGGAGGGAGGTGTCCTGGCAAATGTGCAGCCGGTCTGGCGCCCAGCCCACCCCGCCGCCCGCCCGTCTTACTGCCCGTCGCCGGTTCGAAATCGGTGACATCTTGTTTGGATGCACCGCCCACCCGCGATACCCACACTGCTGCAGGCCCCTGCGTTTCCCCGCGCTGCAGCAGACTGATTCCAAGAGTCGTTTACGTCGCTCTGCCTCTCTGGCGCCGCATAAGCGCGAGAGAGACAGAGCGACGAAACCGACTTTCGGAATCGGGCTGCTGGCTGACGCTCACTACACTACCCACCCGCTCAATCGTTCGATGGCGTATTTGTTTGGGTTCCAGGCACAAAACACGTCAGTTACACTAAGTGCGATCACGTGCGCTGCTGAGCTTACAGTCCTACAGCCTACCACCCCCCGCCCCCTGCCCCGCCCCACCCCCTTCCTGCCCGCGCCACCGCGCCCCCACCTCGCGCCTGCCCGGCTACCCCCACCCCCGGGCGGGCTGTTGCGCTCCGCGGGGCGGAGGGGCGCGTCTCTCGTCTCTCTCTCTCTCCGCAGCGGCTGCGGCTGTTGCTCGCTCGCCGTGTTGTTCAGTTGGCCGCTGCGAGCCCTAGCGACAAGACGTGTGCGACGCGAGGCGTGGCGCGGCAGTGTTGGGCCCTTGCGAGCGGCAGACGGCGGACCTACTGGCGCCATTTCATTTGTTGTTGAGGCGAGCTCGCCGCGGTCTGGAGCCACGGCCCCGCGGCAGTGATTTGTGACCTTGCTGGACGACTTGGCGGTGCTTCGCAGACCAGGACGACACTTCGGATGCCGACACTTGGATTACTCGCCCTTCCATCCCTCCGCCTCCACCGCGACAACAGTTCATGGTGAGTCGAGTCGTCCGCGAGCCTCTTGTGCTTGTGTCGCGTTTTACGTCGACTTGACGTCGTTGCAAGTTGCCAACCTCGGCGGCCCTGCCGCCCTGCCAGCCTTGCGAACCCGATACTACCGCCGCCGTTTTTGTAAAACGGGGCAAACTGCTCGGCAGCCCGTGACGCAACGCCTTCTGAGAACCCCTGGCACTAGCCACGCCTGCTAACTCACTTACCCCGAGCCATTGCTTGCCATTTTCATTTTGTTTTTGTTATCTGGGCCGCCTGCCACGCCTGCCTCGCCGCAGCCTCGCGGCCGTTACTCTAAACTCCGCATGCTGCTGAGGTTAGACAGGGATTGGATTTGCTTTTCGCTCCCGAGGTTGTTGTGCCCGGCGGGCTGGGCGAAGGGGGAAAGGGGGGGGGGCTTTGGCGACTGGCGTTGGCTTTCGAGTGCGTTGTTATGGTTAGCTCACGTTTTTGGCCCTGGTCCCTGGCGGCGCGCAGTGCTCGCCGGCCGCAGTGAGGGCGCAAGCCGAGGGAAATGGTTTCGCCGAACGCGGCCCGGTGGCCCCCCGGTCCTCACAGCCCCATACGTCAGCCGAGGTGCTACCGCCACCGCGCCACCAGGACGTGGCGACGGAGGGGCTGCGTCAGGCTGCGCGCTGCGCGTGGAGCGGGGGCGGCGAAGATTGGTTCAAGGTGCCGCCCCGCTTGGCCTCGGCCAGGATCGCGTCCGTCGCGCGACCGGCTTATCCCGTGGCGGCAAAAACACGCTGCCATGTCGCCGGCGCCGCAGGGTGGCTGGGCCTCTATGGCTGCTGCCTGTCGAGGACCGACTCGGGTCTACTAATCCCACCATCCAACCACCCACCAGCCCCGGCAGAGTTTTCAACCGGCGGCTTTGGACTGACTGACTGACAGTCGTGAAGGAGTGAAGAACTCCGAAAATTAAAATTTCGAAGCCACCCCCGCCACCTCCCAAGTCTGAAAACGTTCTCCCCGCTGGGTATTCGAACCCGCGCCCGCGGAGATACACTTGACAGTGTGCCTGCGCTGTCGTATAGCGGAGGGCGTCCTCGCCGTGCGTCGTTGGGGGACTTTTTCACGCCGTTTTTTCGGCGTCCGCCCCCCCCCTTCCGAATGTGTCGCTGCTGTATACGTGCTGATCATCATTGCCTGGCGTTAGTAGAGCACCACGCAGCCAGCATCTGTTGTTGTTGTCATCGGCTGCGAGAGTGTGTGGGTGTGTAATGCCAGTGTATGCGCCCCTGCATGCAGCACACGCTGAGTTCAAGTTGCTCGTCCGGTGCGGTCCGTTCCTTAAACGGGGTGCTCGTTTATTAATATTTGAGAGTGTACTCCCCCAAACTGCCCCGTCCCCCTCCCCCCGGGCGGAGCGCCCGTTGGACTGTAAAGCAAGGTCGGTAGCGGCAACAGAGAGGAACGAACTTTTGACGACGCTGTAATGTTACCATTTTATTTTTGTGGGGGTGTTGATGGTCGGCGCGACCAGGGAACCTTGGAACCTCGGAGTGGGGGTCGTTTGCCGGGGGTTGTATAGTCTGAGGCCCAGTCTGGGGTGGAAAACGAATGCGTGCATCTTTGCAACACATTAGAAATGCAGCGCTGGCCCGGCAGGCCATTGTGGTGCCCGTCAACAACCTTGAAAGGCTCCTGCCTTTCTCCCTGCATGTGTGCCTGCACTGTGAGTGCCTACACTGCCTATTGTCCGCTCGCAGCTTATTAGGCGACACTCCACTTAATTTACAACGCGCTTCGTACAGCGCGATGTAAGGCGGGCTAATTATTCTATTTACGAGCCCCTTTTCCACAGTCCCGGATCATCGCAAGGGGTCCGCGCACCGCGACGCACCGCGCGCTCACTTCCCGACGACAGGAGAGGCAAAAACAAGGACAAAAACAACAAGACGGGCGGGTGGTTGAACCCGCGCCTGCAAACACCAGCTCGGTGCACTGCAGCTGTGCTTGGTCAACAAGTGCGGCGCGGTGGCCACAGAACCCAGTGTAGGACCCGTCCTGGGCAACACGTGTCTGCCAATCCTTTCGGAAGGATGAAGGCAGCCAATCAGTGTCACGAGGAAAAGGGGTGGGAGAGGGGCGGTCCCGAAGCGCTGCAGCAAAAGTACGCAGGAATCGCTATCGGATTACGCGGCTACGCGCTTCGAGTTCGATGTATAAGAACCTCTCGGGACTCTTCGAGGGGAAGGGTTGCCGTGGGGGTGGGTGGGTGCCCCTCAATGGCAGTGGGCTTGGCTAGGCTTGGCGAGGCCGTCCTACACTTGTTGCGCTGGGTGCGCGCGTACACCTCACACGCGGAGCAGAAAAAACGGGTGGAATTGAGTGACAAAAGGGGAAGGAGCACATAAGGGCTCGCCCCCAGCGCGGCCCCGAAAGCCCGCACCGCCACTCCCGCGCTGTTCCGCCCGGATTCATTGTGTCTGCAGCGCGTTTACTGCCCTGATTGGGAGAGGCTGCAGTGTAGCGTCATTTCCAGGCCGGCCCCATGTCCACTAGTACACTGCCGAAAAATGCACAATCACACACACAATTTGTACTTGGAAATGTCATCAACGGCGACCGTTTTCCCCCCCGCGCGCTTTTCCGAGTTTTTCGTTTTTGCCTCTTTATGCGAGTCAACATGTGTTTGATGTCAGCAGGAGGAGGAGGAGAGGAAGGACGCCTCATGCGAAGGCGGTTCGGGGGACGGGGGCGGGGGGCTAGAAGACAAAAGGGGACGTCGCCGTCCCTGCGTCCCCGCGCCTCGGCCCCGGACAGTGCCCTCGTCGCCTTGTCTCTCTCGCACCCGTGAGGCGTCGCGTCGAGGTGCGAGAGAGACGGAGCGACAAGACGATTCGGAACCGTGCCGCGCTGTCAGGCCGTTTGGCCACGCACTGCCCCGTGCGCGCACTGACTGGGCCGTGCCACGCCGTGCCACGCCGTGCCGTGCCATGTGCGAGGCCTCGAGACGTCAATGATGAGAGGACGACCTCATTAGCTGAGCCTGGCCATGTGAATAAAGACTTCTCGGAGGGCGTGGCGTGGCGTGCCCAAGGACTGCCGAGGGCCCGGCGACCTGCCAGTCCTGCCACATATGCGCGCCAAAACGGCCCTTTCCCACGCAGTGTCGCACAGTGCGCATCGCGCATCGGGCGCCTTGGCAAAAAATAAAGCAGAAAACTAAATTTAAACCTTTTAGAACGCTGCTTAAACTTTGTTCGGTATTTGTTTCTCAATGTGTATGTCTAGGAAACAAGAATTTGGCGATGAGACGGATTGCCTCGGCTGCTGTGGTGCATCAGAGCAGGGGGCGGCGGCCCTGCGTAACATGACCCTTCAGTGTTTGTGTGTGTGTGTGTGTGTGTCTGTGTGTGCCGTGTGCGATACATATCTCGTTTTGAGGCGGAATGGTGCTCTTTTGTGAGTCGCTCATTGCGCGAGTGAAACTCATCCCCAGGTCTATGTGTGATTTCGTTTCCGCGTACACGTCCGACACACACACACACACACACACACACACACACTACACACGCTCACAAACTTCTTAGCGTTTGAATCTGCGCTGCAGCGGCAGCGTGTCTGTTGGCTGATTGAGATGACTCGCACTGCAGCGACCGACCGAGTTGTTTTTTGTTTCTTCCGGTGAAAATGAACGCGACTGAGTGGTCGCTGCGACTGAGTGCGCGATGACGTTGCAAGCGGCGCAGCGGCGCTGCCAAGCCATTTTAGGGTTTCGCTCGCTGCGGCGGTTTTTATCTGCTTGCAGTGTGCTTTCTCCGGGACGGGTCCACGGCGGCGTTAGGCGGAGTCTGCGGGGCCGGCGGGGAGGCCGGGGACAAGGACGCCTGCCTATCCGCGATGCTATCTCTCTCTGCCCCAGACGCCGGCAGCCAGGCAGCGCCAGTAGCCGCGGGGCGGGGAGGGAGGGGCTCCTGTGCACTGTATGGCGGACCTCCAGACGCCCCAACTCCCTCCCCTCCCCCGCCCCTCGAAAATTTGGGAAGTGGCGTGGAGGGGCTGCGTTCCCGGAAAGACGTGATCTCGCCACTCGGGCATAAAGAGGATCGCAGCAGCGACGGTCAGGTGTCATATTCGTCCAGAAGCACCTGTAGTTGCTGACTTGCCTAGGGTGGCCAGTAGGTTAGGTGTTTCCGAGTCCCGCGCTTTTGGTTGGGGATGTACAGGTGTCTGCTCGGCTTAGCCGCGTCGCGTCGCTACTAGTTCGGGGCGTTTTCCTCTGTAACGAGGCCCCGTCAGCGTCGCTCATTGTCGAACAGTGAAGATGGCCGCCGACGGCGTCCTCGACGGGCCTCTCGACGGCGCCGGCGTGGGGCCTGCGGGCCTGGCGCGCCCCGCCTCCGCCCGTTTGGAAAGGCTTTCGGAGTCCCGTCTTCCTCCAGAGATGCGCCCAGGGCCCACTGGAGTGATAAGAAGGCCGCTATCTGTGCACGGACATGCCGGGCCGGCGTGCAGTCCGTCAACGGGCTGGATCAAGACGGAGTGGATAAGATACAGCGTGGCCAAACATTCCAGCCGTCTGTTGGCCGGGCAAACAGGCCCCACGGCCCCACGGCCAGGTAGAGGCAGACGCCGTTTAAAAATAGCGCGCCGTCAAATTAGTGTTTATTTGAGGAGGGGGCGGGGGGCTTGTTACGGCCGCTGCTAAACACTTGTGCAAGCCGAGGCGGCGGACGGGGGCGGCGCCAGTAGCCGGGCGGGTGGACGGCGGGGAGGTCCAGGACGACGGCGTCGACCTGGCCGGCTGTCGCCGCGACGCCACCCACGCCGTCGGCGACGCGTCGACGCCCCGGCCCACGGCCGGACAGCGGCCGGACGGCCGGACGACGGGAAGTCGCCACAGTCACCGAGGAGGGCGTTGACTGGAACGTCGCGCTGAGATATGCACCGCGGACCACAATCCCTGTGTACATCGCGAGAGTGCGCGGCGGCGCGAGCGACGTTTATCCGGGACGTGGTTTACGAATCCTGGAGGACAACGAGCACGACAACACAAAGGCCGTGCCACCGCCACGCGCGTGGCGGCGCGGGGCACCGCGGGGCACGGCGCCGTCGAGGAGAAAGGCGGGGTCCTTGTCCTGGCCGGGCGCGCGGAACCGCGTCGCCGGGGCGGCGGGGGGGCAGACGGGCCCTGGCCCTTTCCTCGGAACGCGGACTTACTTATCTGCCCTTTGGCGAGCGCGTGGCGGGGCGTGGCGGGGCGTGGCGGGGCGGGGCGGGGCGCGCGCTCCAATGCACTCCGCGGCGGTGGAAGTTGACTGATCGAAGATAACGCGTTTGTTTAGCCAGGCCAACACGGCGCGGCGACGCAGATTGCGCCAAAAGCCCGAAAGGACGAAAGGAAGTGCGATAAAAAGAGGAAAGGGGAAAGAAGTGCCGTTTTTGTTTCTGGTTCCCCGTGCACCTGGGGAAGGCCGACCGCGCCTCCACCGCGGACCGACCGCCACCGCCGCCTGCCTGCGCGCTTTGCGCCCCGCGTTCAAGTCACCCTTCGTTTACCCGGGGCCGCTTTATGACTTGTTGTGGCTTTTGGGAAAGAAGGATGAAGCATACACTGTGACAAACGGCGCACAGCGATGCGGGCCCGCGACGCACCGCGACGCACCGCGACGCGCGGGGCGCTTGCCCTCCGCTATTTCGGGACACTTCGGGACGCGGGTGCGCCGCGCGGTAGGCGTTGGTGGAGGAGGGGGGGGGGGGGGTCCCTTCTTTTCCCGGCGGGGCCCCGCTTCTCCGGGCCGCGGACGTGGCTTTCTTCCCGCCATGGCCGTTGCCGGGTTTTCATGAGCTTTCATGGCGCTCTATGGACGGCGCGGGGGAAAGCCAACCACGTCGGCAGTCGGACTTTAGTGCCGCGCCGCCGAGTTGATTTACGCCTTATTCTCAGTGTCGTGCCCGCGGCCCTACTGCGGGGTCGCCGACGACGCCCCATTTTTTGACGAGGCTGGAGACGGCGCCGTGAGGGATTGTGGGGGTCTCGGCCGGCGCCAGGCGGTGTCCCTAGGGGTGCCCCGAGTCCCGGAAGGACGTGGCCTCTGAGGCTCTTTACTGCAGCCCCTCCAGGCCCTTCCCGTGACCGGGCGGGTTAGTCGGGTCGGGTCGGCCGCCGTCGGCCGCCCACCTGTCCCAATGCGTGCGTCGCGTCGCGCGGCACGAATCGACCCAAAACAAGGCCGGCGGTACAGCCCAAACAAAAAGCAAAGTGCTCTGTCCCGTTTGAACTTGGCCAAGTGCGTCTTACGCTTGATTATCCCCGGCCGTGTCCTTGCCGAGGGCCGAGGCCCAGGGCCGCCCGGGGCGCACACGTGTGGTTGTCTGTGTGTGTGTGGCATCCGTGAAATGGAAGGGTTGGAGGCTTTAGAGGGCCCCCAGGTGCCCGCCGCGCACCGTGGGACCTTTAAAAGGACCGGCGGCCGCTAAGCCGACAAGACGGACGGCGTGCAGAGAGGTCCAATCTGTCATCAGTTTTGGCGCGGCGAAGGAATCCCGCGAGGAATCTGACGCGCCGGCGGCCGGGCCTGTGTCGGGCCGGGCGGGGCCCTCGGGGGGGACCGGTTTGGGCGCCGCGGCGTTGTCTTGGTGTCGCATTAGCGCGTTAATGTGATTGCATTTCTCGGCGGCGGGTTTGCCTTCCCGGCTTGTTCCCGCGGGCCGCTGCTGCCCGGCTGTCGCGCGAGCGAGGCGGCGGGGCGGTGGCGCGGTGGCGCGGACACAAATCATGCCCGCGGCCAGAGGGGCGACGCGGCGACGCGGCGACGGGGACGGCCGAAGTGACCAGGACTCTCGACAATAGGTGACGACAGCCAGGCACTTGGCGGCATGCGGGCTGCTGCGGGCCGGGCCGGGCCGCGGCGGTGCGGGCAGCGCGTCGACGGCGTGGAGGCCGTGGCGGAGGCCGAGGCCGGGCCGGCTGCTGTGCACTGCTGTGCGGAAACGAAGACGCCGTCGTGCGTCCCGTGCGGGCCGCGGGGCGGAGGCATGGCGAAGGCAGGGCGCCGTGGGAGGGGGCGCGGAGCCAGGACGAGGACGGCCCCGAAGGGACCGAAGGGAGGAAGAGGCCTTCATTAGTCTTCCCTCGCCAAGTCAGCCCCGTCGAAGGCCGGCGCGTTCATCTTTCAGGCTACGCCGGGGAGGCCGGGCCGATTGACGGCTGCAAATTCGAGACCCTCAATCTCTCAGTGGCGCCTAGTGGTGAGCACCGCGACGACGAGGGGCTACACGGCGCGCGGGCTCAAAGGGGTCGCCGACGACGGCGCGATCGAAGAGTCGCCGGCACGCGGGGAAGAAACGAAACGGGGACGCACCTCCTCCCGGCGGCTTGTGCGGTATCTCCTAACGCCCCTTTTGTTTTTGTTGTGTTGCAGAACGGGAACCGGCGCGCGAGGTGCCGCTGAGTGGACAGTGGCGTAGCCGGCGTCGCCGCCATGGCTGTGGAGACGCGGCCGCTGCTGGCGGCTGTGCTGCTGGCCGTCGTGGGCGTAGCCAGCGTCCTGGCCGCCCCCATCGGAGTCGACGAGCAGGTGGTGACTTTGGGTGAGTACGCAGACTTTGTTCGTGGCGGCGTGTCTGCGGCCGGCTCGGCGCGCCGGTCCGCCAGTGTCAGTCCCATCCCACGGCCAGCGTCGCGTCTCGCGCAGCGTCTCGCGTCGCCGCGACGTCGCCCTGCACCGCCTTTCCAATCTCATTCCGTTTATTCAGTTAAGGAATACGGCAAGGCAAGCAAGGCAAGCGGCTGGCTGGACCGCGCGGCCGGCCGCAGGCCCACTGAGGCCCACTCCACTGTGGTCCCGGCCCGGGGTCATGGGCCCGACTGGCGACGGGCCGCCCAGCCTCTCAAGGCACAGCGCGGCCCGGCTGCGCCGCGGGCTCATTGGCTCTGTAATGACGTGTGTGGGGGAGGGGGGCAGGGGCGTCGCGGGAGATTCGAACAGAACATCCTGCTGCAACAAAGGGCGCGGGGATCAAGACGGAGACGGCCCTGATGACGGCGTCGGCGTCCGAGACACGGTCCGAGGGGGCAGCCCTGCCTGCCTGCGGCACCCATTGAACGGTTCGGCCTTTTAATAGGTCATCGCGGGGCGGGCCGGGGCGGGGCGAAGTGCCGAGGGCGCTGCAAGGGAGCGAGTGGGGCAGGGCAGGAGGGGCTTTTGCGCGTGCGGCTCAGAAATAGACGCCGCCCCGCCCCGCCCCCTCGGCAGTCCGTGCCCCGAGCGCGGGCGTGCGGATTGCAGCACCCCTCCGCTCCGCTCCGCGCACGCACGCCCCCCTGCACCCGCGGCAGCACCCCGGGCTCGTGTCCCGCACTCCTCGCTGTCTCGCTCGCACTCATGGAGTGTGCCGTTGGGGAGTGAGAGGGACAGGGCGGGGGCGGTGGAATGGCGCGACGGCGTCGCACGGCGTCGCACGGCGTCGCACGGCGTCGTCGCGCGGCCTGGAAGAGGTTGGGCAATTTGGGGCGAGACTGCGAGACTGAGAGGGGAGGCGTCAGACGAGGGGAGCGTTGAACCGGCGGCGGAGCGGCAGAGCCTCGTTTGCGCGGGGAGGGTGGGGGAGCGGCGCTAACTAAGAGGGGCTTAGAAAAATCGGGCATTTGGCGGACCAACGCTGGAGGGGAGTGGGGACAGGGACTGGGGCGCGTGTTTGCAAGAGCGAGACGCCGTGCCTGGTTGGCTGGCTGGCTGGCTCGGCCTGGTTGGCTGGGCTGGCTCTGGCTTGACAAGACGCTTGACAGTTGGCCGTCCCGCTGGTGCCCGCTGGCTGGTGGTGCCCTGGCAGCCCTGGTGGTGGTCTGCTTGCTCTTTGCTTTGATTCTGATAGACAGCACACACACACTCACACAGATACACATTAATCAAAGGCCGCGACTATATCTAATGTGTGTGTGTGTGCGTGTGTGCGCCGCCGAGCCAAGAAGTTGCGGATCCATGTGCCTCGGCCGCTGGGCGTTTACGTAACGTTTTCCGCAGTGCGGTCACGGTAGAACCGCCGGTATGGTCGCACCGCTTTGCTCCACCCTTCCCTAGGGCCGGCGTGGCTCGTCTCTCTCCCACCTGCACGGGTCGCCCCATGAGTGCGAGAGAGACGGAGTAGGGTTGGTCGAATCGATTTCGATTTAAATCGAAAATCGATTCAAGTAGTCGATTTTCGATCGAAATCGTAATCGATTTGACGTGTCGATTTAATCGAAAAAATCGATTTAGGCGATCGATTTTCGATTTTCCTCAAATTTGCGCTATTTCCGCTTATTTGGCGCTCTCAGCGGCATTCAAACCTGCCGGTGATTTTGTTGTAAAAACTTGGAGTGCCTAGGGGATGAGAGGGACAGGCGGGTTCGGGGGTAATGGTTCAAAACGGCCCGTCCAAGTAGTCGTGCAGGGCTGTGCGTGGGGAAGATTGGGGAAAATTTGGGCCTCGAGACCGGGGGGGCCGGAGGGGATTGATAGGGGGGACCGGAAACGTTTGCGGGGGAAGCCGCTAACAAATTAAACCCCTTTTTGGGGCATTTCGGAGTAAACGCTGGAGGAGGGGGACCGAGATGGCTGTTTCCCCAAGAAGACGCTCTGTTCTTGCGGACCTAGGCTTCAATGGTTTGTATGGCTGGCCTGGCTTAAAAACCTTGACAGTTGCAGAAGTCCGCTGGGGCTGGCTTTTACCCTTTAGTCCTTGCTCTTTGCTCTGATTGTGAAGACAGACTCGCCCCAACAGATACACTTAATCTAAGGCCGCGGCATTCTAATGTCGCAATTTGCTAAGTAGGCCGAACGAGCAAAAAAGTTGGAATCCGATTCCTCGCCCGTTTTACGTAACGTTTTCCGCAAATCGGTTAAACTTGGGTCGCCCCGCTTTGTCCCCCTCCCACGACGAGAATCGTCTTCCACCTGCACGAAATGCCCCTAAAAAACGGAGCGACGAAAGCAAGGGCGTTGGGAATGGGCGTGCAGGCCCGGCAGGCCCACGGAAGTGCGCTGCCCCGCGCTGCGCCGCGCTGAGACTCGGCGACGGGGGCGTGCGTGGATCCGAGGCACGTCGCATCGGGGAGGGAAAAAGGGGGGGGGGATGTGAAAGGTGATGGCGATGATGGGGGTGATCGTGACCGGATGTCGAGACTGAAAGAAGGTTCCCTTTGACTTCCCCCTGCCTTGCTGCCCGTCGCTCTCCCCCCCCCCCCCCCCCCTCGACCGGCCGCGCTGCCCGCGTCGCCGCGCGTCGCCGCGATATAAAATTATTTTGGGGACCGAGATTTTGATTGGGCGGTGGGGGAGGGCGGTGGCCGGCGTGCGTGTTGTGGGGTCGGGGCGGCCCGAGGGGCGGCCGCCATGCCGCGTTGCCGCGCTCCGTATAAATACAGCCGAGGCCGCGACGCCGCGCCGTGCCGCACCTGTCCAGCTGCAGGGGACTCCTGCCGGCCCACAGTGGAGGCGGCCAAAACTCTAGACGCGTTTTGGAGCTCCAGAGTCGCTAAACAGGACTCGAACTGAGCGTGTGACCCCACCAATGGATTCCTCGTTCGGAGAGCAATCCATCGGTGGGGTCACACGTTCGGCTCGAGTCCTGCTTTTGCGACTCTGGAGCCGCCTCCACCGGTCTTCTGGCCCACTGTGCCGCCGCGGCCCGCCGGCCCGACCGCCAAATCCGCTCTTTGCATGCGGCCCAGGAAGGCACCCCGAGGAGCCTCCGGGCGGCCCTGGATCCGCCCCTGGTCGCCCCGGAGTCGGCGGCGGGGATTCGGGGGTCTTGATATGCACCGCGTGCCGCGCGCCGCGATTGGATGGGAGGAACACGCACGCCGTGCCTGCCGTGGCCGCCGTGGCCGCCGTGCCCACACATACACGTGTAGGCGCTCGCGCTCGCTCACACACACCGACGCACCGAGGCGAGGTGGCGCGATGCTCCGCGTCGCTTGTGCATGGATGGGCGTGTTGGTTGTACATAGCTCCCGTGCCACCTGTTGAATCATTCAAAACGAGCGCGTCGCCAGCCGAAAAAACAAAGCGAGAAAGCGAAACGCGATGGGCAAAAGGCACTTGCGGTGTGGGTCATCGATGCGACTCGACTCGACTCTGGAGAATGTGTGAAGATCGATCGATGTTAGGCGACGGGGATGAAATCGAGTGCTTTTCCTACTCGGACTCTATAAATTTGGGCTTAGGCTGTCCAGTACTGGACTGATTTTTGATTATTTTTTTTTTTAGAAACTGATCCTTATTGATCTGGCAGGCCCGTCTCACCCCGTGCGGCTTGTGTCGCCTTTCCGAAATGCAAACAAATTATTTTGTGGTGTCTTGATTGCCGCGCCACTGTATAATCGGCATGCGTTGCGCTGTGCGCCCCGCCCCGCCCCGCAAGTCCCCCTGGCTTGTATTGAAACAGCAGCGACAGCAGCGCGGGGCGCTCCTTGAATCCGTGATGCTCGCGACGCGACGCGTGCCTGGCCGGCCTGCAGGGTGGTTCCGCGCCGTGCGGCCGTCGGTGCATCTCTCTCGCACTCGCGGGACGGCCCGTGTAGGTGCGAGAGATAGAGAAACTGGCGGCCGCCCTGCGCCTCTGGCATAGGATGGCCAGGACGGATATGCCAGTTTGCCAGTGTCGTGGAGGGGTTCCGAGGGGGAAATCACTCCTAAAACCTGCGACCCGACTATTACGCCTATAACGCTCTATTACGCCTCAAAATATAGCGATTTAGCTGAAAACAGACCAAAAAACCCCTAAAATCGATCAAATTTTGAGAATTTTAGCTATTACGCTACTATTACGCGCACTATTACGCGTGCTATTACGGACAGAGTGACCCGACTATTACGCGAGTGCTTTCCCCCTCGAGGGGTTCCGAAGCTCGCCGGCACCGATTTGCTGCGGGATGACCTCTATGGCAGGCGTGTTTTGGTTTCGTGTTCGCGCTGCTGATGGCCCGCTCGGCGTGGCACGGCGTGGCAAGGCCGCGTGGGAGAGCTGTGGTTGCTCTTCCTGTCGAAGGGCGAAAATGGCTTGCAAAAGCCAGGGAAGAAAAATACCAGAATCCTGCCTGTGTATTTGCATAAGGGTGCCGAAAAAATAAACAGGCCAACTCTGAAACTCCGAACTCGATGTCATGAAAAATATTAAAATTTTGTGGGATATGGTGCGGCGGCGGCACTCTCGGGCACCTTGCCTTGGTCTGGCGACGACGAGCCTCTTTCTTTGGTGTCAATCCGGGCGGAAAGGTTGAAGAAAGCAGCGAGCCGCACGGAAGCTATAAAAGAGTGGAAAAACAAATATCCGTGGGGCCGGCCGCGGGGAGCCCGGTGTGTCGAACCCACGCCTGTGCCTTACGCCACACTGCAGACCGACTCCGAGAGTCGTTTTCGCCGCTCTGTCTCTCTCGCACTCATGGGGCGTTCTGTGAGAGAGAGAGACAGAGCGACGAGAACGTCTTTCGTCGGCGTGCTCCGCGACGTGGACGACGTGGACGGGGAGCGTGGCAGCGCAGCAAGCTAGGCGACTTGGCCCACTCATTTTGGCGCGCTTTAGCGTCATGCTCACGTCACGACTTCCGG